CCCCAAAACCCCAAAACCCCAAAACCCCAAAACCCCATCAATTTTTAAAGGAATTGAAAATTTCATAAAATTCATAATGTAAGAAAATTAAACCTTTTTACTCTTACTTATGAAAAGACGAGATTTAGACTTCCTTTTTGTCTTCTTAATTGGTGTTTTTCTCTTTGAAGAGCTATTCCTCTTGATCATTGGTGGAGTTTGAGCTTCAATTTTAGCAGTTTTAGGTGTTTTATCTTTCTTCTCTTCAGTTTTTCCAACTACTAATGAAATTTCCGAAACATTCTCTTGATCCATAAAATACTCACTAGAAACATCTGAATTACTCAAAATCCCCTTCTTATTCCCTATAACTCTAGACTGTGCTTTGATAATCTTTTTCTCCAGATTCTGAACCCGTCTCTGACTTATGAACAACTCTGACTTCATCTGGTCACTATTCCTCACCATTTCCGCTTTCAGGTAATCAATTTCTTCCTGCTGTCTCCTTATCACCCCATCTTTCACCTCAAGTTTCTCTTTCAGCATCTTAATAACCGGATTGTCTATGGATCACCTCAGTAACCTACCTTGTTTTTTTATTTTAACAATTTTCTTCATTTCATTATTCTTCCTCCTGAGATCTTTGTTCTTCTTCAGAAGGTACTTGTACCTAGACTTGTAATACTCCACACCCTTCTCATTATCCATCTCATGCTTATCCCACTCACTCTTACATAAAACCTGAGGGTGCACAGGATCTGAGCCTTGCAGGGAGATTTTCAGGTCATCGTTCTTGAAGTAATTTATTTTAGCAGTGAGAATTTTATTTGCGGAGGTATGTCTGACTGGGAAATGGCGAGGTTTGTTATTAGATTGAGCTTTCTCTGGGGTCTTCTTAGTTTCTTCCCTTGGCTCTGTTTCCTGAGCTTGTTGGAATTTTGAAGGTGGCTGAATCGGAATTTCCTCTGGATTTTCGGATTTATCAATTTCGGTGTCCTCTTTTTCTGTTGTGTTGTTCAATTTTGACTCCTTGAGGCTTTCTTTAGAGTCCTCATTGTGGTCATCGATCTGGGTATTTTCTTGGATATCTTCACCAGATTGGATATTGATCTTGGTGATTTCATCGAGAGATGGCTATAGATGACCAATTCAAGTACCTCTTCATCTACTTCCATGGGGTTAATGGCCATGTCGCTAGAGAGGTTATACTAGAAAGTACCTCAGAGCTGCTTTAATCTTTCTTCTGCTCAATTTAAGTTTATTTCTGTAGCCTCCTTTCTTCTTTCTTGAAGAATTCTTAGACTGGGGCTGGAAGTAATAACTCATGTCCACCTTTTGTTTGTCATTATAAATCTACAAATAAAATTATGAAAATAATTACCTTGTAAAGTGACGCTTTTTGAGATTCAGAGTCTGCCGATCTCTTATGCCTTCCCTTGGTAGTAAGGTCTACTGGGGAAGGAGTAACGAATATATTACTATCACTTCCTCTGTAATTTATCTTGATCCTGTTATTGAATTTAAGGATTCCTCCTTCAGCTCCGAACTGGCTATTTGGTACTGGATACTAGTGGGCGTTCGGACCTAAAGTTTTTACGAAGAGGTTTTTCCCCTTCAATATCTTTGATATCATTCAATAACTCGTATTTCTTTTGCATGAGTTGGTTGATTTCCTTATTTGAGCTTTGTTACAAGCCCTTTGCCAACATTTTTAGCATAATTTATGGGTATTTTTGTGTGAAATACCTTCCTTGAGTCTACTGTGGATGGTGTCCTAAAGCCAGGCATTGAAGAAGATGCATATTCACTTTTCATAGATCTGTTCATTATTCCAGTGCTCTGGAAGTACCTACGAGTATTCGACTGCTCATTTTCGTCTGATAAGAGGGGTAAATTATTGCCATTTTTATTCCATTGGTTATTTATCCTGGGTTTATTTATTAAGCAAGACAGATGAGCATCTCTTACTATCAGCATTTATTTTTCCACTGGCTGCATTTATATAACCAATTTCGGATGGTGGTCTTTCTTGCTGGTAAACCAGATGCTGAGCCATATGTTTTTCTCCTTGCTTTTTTAAGTTATTTCCTCCTGATCATCTTCTCAATAAGGTCCCCTTTGAGAGGGCTAATCTTTTTATACTTAGAGTCTTTGTTTCTCCGATTATTTTTCATATTTTTAATAAAGCTATTTGAATTCAATAATTTATTATGCTTATGGGGTTTTGGGGTTTTGGGGTTTTGGGG